CTCCCAAAGTGCTGGGATTACAGGCTTGAGCCACCGTACCCGGCCTCATTATTTCCTATTCTTAATATCGATTTTTCAAAAGTATATAGTGAGAATGCTATGCTATACACTTTTTCTATTGTTTTAAAATGTTTGTTCATATTGTGATCAATATTGTGAATTTTGCTATAAAGATGAAGGTATTGAGAGGAAAGATGAAAAAGAATAAGCTCAAGGAAGGAGCTGAAGTATGTCAAATGTGTGCTATTTTTTCCTCCTCACTATCTAAAGTAACTATCCCTTAGTCCCAGACTTAGAACGAGAATACCATTCAACACTCACTCTGCAGGCAGCTGGACTCTTCAAATCAAGCACTTAAAAAGAGGCTTTCCATCCATCCCTGAGCTAGACTGCAGCTACATAGGATGCTAGGCGTCAAAATTTAAATGAGTGCATGTTTCTGTTTTACAGTTAATCCACATTTCTCCTATCAGCCATATTTTCTTTCTGTAGCCACAAGACTTACATACCAATTACTTAACTGCAGGCTTACTTCTCATTTCTTGTTGTGTACCTATTATACAAACTACTTTCATTGAACGTCTGCACTCATCGTAGAAAATATTTGCAAATAATGTCCTTAGCTCCTCAGTATATGTGCCCTTCTACAATTTGTTCATAAAAATCTCCAAAGAAGTCTATTGTTATTAATAAATCAAGTTTAGCCTAACACTGCCTTCTTGTGTATTTTAACATCAGCCTACAGGTTTCTCTGTACATCATGTGAACTCTAACAAGTTGAGGTGTAAACAGACCCCAGCCTACACTTGTGCCAATCACTGTGCTTTGGCCAATCACACGTAGCCAACTGTTTGAACTGTGTTCAAATAAGGCAAGTGCCGAGCTGTGACCAATCCAGTTTTTTCTGCACCTCACTTCTGTTTTCTATACTATATTTTCCTTTTTCTGTCCATAAATCTTCTTCTACCACATGGCTGCGCTGGAGCCTCTGAGTCTACTGTGAGTCTGACTCTACTGTGGCTGCCTGATTTGTAAATGGTTCATTGCTCAATTAAACTTTTAAATTTAATTCAGCTGAAGTTTTTTCTTTTTAGCACTGTTCGGCCATGTGTGTGCCCCCCATATTTAAAAATAAATTACTAGAGTCCTTTTAGAAATACTTTCTTGGCTTCCCTGACATTTTATATTGCAATTTACATTATGAAATGGATTTCACATTTACCTCATTTCAGCTAACAGTAACATTATGAGGAAGTTATAACTGCTTCTACTTCATATGCAGTGAAATAGACTTCATGAAGTAAAGCAACTTGCCTAATAAGTAAATCAGAATAAGAACTCTAAAATCTTCATTTTCTGACCACAAATACAGTTTTCTTTGCATGACACAATGTATTGACAGAACGTGCTCAACACTAAAGAAAAATTTAAGGAAATCAACAGATAATTGAAAGGAAAGTTCTCAAGGAAGAATTTGCAATAGTCTTTGCTAAGTGACAATCTTACAAAAGGAAGTTTATGAAAATGAGCACCAGTGTGTTCTTTCTATCATACAATTGCTCCTGTCTGTCATTTTACCATGAGATAGATGTTTATGAAAAACACAACTGAAGTACTTCAGTTTCCACTGTTGAAAAACAAAGATTTATGATGTTATCTTTTCTAGCATTAAACCCCCAAAATTGATTTATAAATAAACCAGTAGACTTGATGGTTGCAATGGTGTCTCTCACAATGATCCCTGTTGCATTTGTGCATGGAGTCATCTCAAGAAAGAAATGCCTCACAAAGGAGTAGCTACAAAGATGTCACTGCCTCTGTTCATGTCCCATGACCTGATTGGAAATCATGTGCACTAATGCAGCTCGGCTTACTCATCAACCATGTGTTAATGCCGTAAGCTCTCCTCAAAAGATTTCATTTTAGTTAAGTGTTAAAACTGTTCTCTTGAAGACAACATGTATTTCAAAGATGGCTTATTTCCCCCAAATAATCATGTAATCAGTACTCTTGTAGAGTCCCCAAAAACTCTCAGTAAGGTGTCCATTCAAAATAATGATTGTTATCATATTTTGAAAAGCATTTTCATGCTGAATTTTCCCACAAATCAAAAGTCCATTGTAAAATCACACACACTTCACAGTATTTACATTTATTATTATTAAATCTTTGGTACCTCAAAGGCATTAATATGGGTCAATGGAAGAAAATAGGAACTGAAATCAAAGTATTACAGGTGCAGATGAAAAGACTGACTTTTTTCTAGCCTTTAATCTCTTTGAAGGGAATATTGGGGACAGTAATTCTGATATGGAAATGAGATGGGGATATATTTCTTTCCTGGGAGAAATTCATATGGAAGATAGACAATTATCAGGGTCTTAGTGGCCACAGAGAGGAATGTTTATAAGACACTGACATTCTCATAACAGGAGACACTCCTGTTCAGAAGCAGGCCATAGAGAAAGCAGATGGGGTCTTTACTGAGAGATTAAGAAGGGACTAGTATGAACTGAAACAAACATGAAGAATTTCTTGTGTATTCGGTGGTACAATCTGGGGAGTGACCGCTAATTTCTCATGGACAACTTGACTGTCAGGAAAAAGGATGTTACTTCCATGTATTTCCCCTAATTCAAAAAGTTTCTCATTCCTCCAAGTATGAGGAAGACATGGAAACAAGGAGGTGATATTCGACGTTGAGAAGAAAGAAAGCTAAAAATTATCTCTAAGCCTAGAAGGTAGATGACATTATGGGTTTCTGAGGTTGTTGGTGGCATGTAAATAAGACTTCTTGTGACTGTTAAATATGTGCATGGACCCAAGCTTGGAAATGCTGGTGATCCTGAGCAGGAAACGTGAGAACCCATTTTGTACTAGTCAGAGAAACAGTCTTGCCTGATTATGTTCCATTTCCCCACGTCTCAAGTAGCCCTTGCATTGGCATTGCCTGGCTCACTCTGCTGTTTGTGGTTGCAGCTGGGGAGTCAGTCACCTTCACCTGATGTTTCAGGGAGGAAACGGAGGTTTTCTGGCTTCACCATTGCCGCCCTCCTCTCACACGCACACCGCTTCAATTCTTGGCAGTCCTTTGAGAAGATCATCCTATTAAGGATGGCCACACAGTCTCTGCTTCTTGGACTGGTGACATCTATCATAACATGGAACCTTAAAAAAAGAAGAAAATGTAAATTTAATCACAGTTTATTTCTAAAATAAAATATTAAATACCCATTCTTCCATGGGTGATAAAATTATAGTCTAGAAATCAGAATAAGTTTACTGGGAAAATGGGGTCATGTGACTCTTTTTCTTCAGCCCCTTCAGTTTCCAGACTCATTCTTAGAAATGACAGGTCACCTAGAACAACACAAATCACCTCTAACTAAAATGAAACTATGCGCTCTATCCCAAAATTATATGGGTTTTCTGCCACTTAAAAAGTTACCTACCTCCTCTGTAACTCAGTTTACTTAACTGTAAAATGCAAATGATTACATCAAATATGTCCTGTCTCCTGGGAGAATTAATGCTAACTTATATGTAGGGAAGAATGGTATCTCTTCCAACATGGATTTAAATGTGATATATTTCTATAGAGAAATTACATTTTCTTATTTCAAAGGATACTGATATGATTTGGATGCTTGCTCTTTACAAATCTCAGTTGAAATGCCATCCCCAGTGCTGGAGGTAGGGCCTGGTGGGAGGTGTTTGGGTCATGGGGCGGATTCCTCATGAATGGCTTGGTGCCCTCTTCTAGGTGATAAGTGAGTTCTCGCTCAGTTCATGCAAGATCTGGTGGTTTAAAAGGGCTTGGACCCTCCCTCACCCCTCTCTTTCGTGTTTTCTCTTGCCATTGGACATGCCAGCTCTTGCTTTGCCTTCTGACGTGAGTAAAGCTCCCTGAAGCCTCCCCAGAAGCCAAGCAGATGCTTGTACAGCCTGCAGAATTGTGAGTCAATTAAGCCTCCTTTCTTTATAAACTACCCAGGCTCAGGCATTCCTTTGTAGTGATGCAAGAATGGACTAACACAGATACCATGTAAACTCCTACCTAAATGCTCACAGCATAAGTACCACTAGTGTTTTCCACCATTGCTCGTATTTTCTGCAAATCTTTTCTCAGAGACTGTGTTTTTAAAGACGTGCTCCCTATTTCACTGCACAGAAAGCCAAGAAATCTTATCCTATCTCTGACTATTGACAAGTTGTGTGACTTTAGGCAACAATCATTACAGCCTGGACTTCTGGGCTTCAGTTTACTCGTCTATAAAAGATCTCTCTCTCACTATCTCTCTGTCTCTCCATTCTTTCATCCATAGTACATACCAGACACACACTTCTGAAAGCAGCAAGAGAACTACCCCTGATATTTTACTAATGCTATGTGTCCTTCTCCCTCACAGGCTTATAAGCAGTTCAAGAGCAAGCACTATCTGGGTATGGTGGCTCATGCTTGTATTCCCACCACTTTGGGAGGCCAAGATGGGCAAATCACTTGAGTTCAGAAGTTCTAAACAAGACAGGGCAACACAGCATAAACCCACCTTTACAAAAAATTAGCTAGATGTAGTAGTGCACACCTGTAGTCTGAGCTACTTGGGAGACTGAGGTGAGAGAAGAGCTTGAGCCTGGGAGGCAGAGGTTTCAGTGAGCAGAGATTATCCCACTACACTCCAGCCTAGGCAATAGAGCAAGATACTATATCAAAGAAAAAAAATGAGGAAGCACTATGGTGCAAACATCTTTGGTCATCCTCCTGCAAACACAGTCTCCAGTACAAAGCAGAAGTTTGATTAATACTTGATAAGCCAAATTCTTGAACCCTATCACTCAACCAAACTATCTTGTAAATGCCTTTCCCATAAAATATCTGAGGGCTTACAGTTCAGAAGTGTAAGGGGTTCCATCCATCCACAGCCAGACCTTGCCACCGCCAGGGCGGAAGAGCCCCATCCAATAAAAGTAGAAAAACTCAGAGTAGCTCTGAGACATGGCAAACTCCTGTGAAAAGTACACAAGAAAACCTTTAGATCTGGTGGCATAATTACACACATGTACAGATGTGCATGGGGCAGCCAGCACTTTTCTCAAAGCACACACGAGTCCTGCTTCACATAGATGCTCGAATGCTTAAGAGAAAAAGCATCTGTCCTGAGGCCAGTCAGAAATTTATCGAGGTTTAATAACTTATTTTGTCTCAGTAAATATAGAACACATATCAATATTCTGAAAGCAGAAATCACATCAACTAAGATTTGTTCCTGACCCCTTGCTTTAAAGGCACAGAATTAAACACTAATGTTGATTTAAAAATATGAGGGAAAGATTAACAAACAGATGTGGAATGCTTCTGGGACATGGAAGAATATGGAGGGAAAAATGCAGGAATGAGATAGTAACCTTTATAAATACCTGGGAAAGGAAGAAAAAAAGTAAATGAAAAATCTGCAAGGATGATTTATGTCTTAGACTAGGAAGGGGAGAAAGAAAATTTTAAATTTCAATTTATAAATATTTATGAGCACACATATGTATAGTCCTGTACATGGTAATTCTTTTCCTAATATCCATATTTAACATATGTTTACATTTTAAAAGTTATTTTGAAATGCAAAGTAAGACTAGATACATTTTAAAAGTTATTTTAACTTTTAAAATAGTTATTTTAAAATAGTTATTTTAAAAGTTAAAATAACTTTTAAAATGTATCTAGTCTCACTTTGCATTCCTAATACATATTTTTGGAGAGTTGGTGGGGGCAGGTTCTCGCTCCGTTGCCCAGGCTGGAGTGCAGTGGCATGATCACGGCTCACTGTAGCCTCAACCTCCCCAGGCTCAGTGCACTCCTAATATTTTAACAGAAAAATTATCTAAACATTTATTATAATTATCCATTTTGATATCTTTAGTTTCCACCATACAATGAGTTTCTCAACAATACACTTTATTTCATTGTTCTATTCATAACCCTTCAGATAATTAATAAAATATACTGATTTAATGAGAGATTATTGGAAATTTAAATGAAACTGTTACCAAGCAAATAGTCATAATGTGAGCATGTGAAAATAACTGTACTTGAAAATATTGATTCCAATTAAATAGGAGGGATTCCTTCAAATTATAAGTTTTGAAAGCAAATCATACAAAAATGATTTAAATATATAGACATATATGAAGTTCGTGATAGGAAATAACTACATAGCTTTAACAAGAAAATTTCTCGCTTGTTACTTGAATATGCTAAAAGGAAAAAGGAAAAAAAGTAAAACAAGAAAATTTCCTACCACATGATGTAATATAGTACAATTATATACCTGAGGCTGCAGTATACGCTGGAGGCAGGGGAAGCAAAGAGAATAAGAAAAATTCGGAGGGTTTATGTCAGGGCACAGTCTTAGTCAAAGACATTACCTCACTTTATGCCTAAATTAAATCATCAAGAAAGGGTTATAAAATACTATTTTAGTAGGTGAGAGAAATTACAGAGTTTCTTTCATTACAGATTTCAGGAAGTAGGTAGAAGTTAAGTGGTAATTAAAACAATGTTAAGAATTTGTGTAGTGAGCTTGGCATTTAATTCAACTAAATAATCTTTTCTTGATAACATACTCTTCATCAAGAAAAATCTCTGCTAAATTCTAGAGAAGCAATGATAAATAAGCAATGGCCATACTGTTTGAGAACTTCGATTCAAAGGCAATAAATATGAGAGGAAAGGGAATAATCATATTTTATTAGTGTACTTTAACTGCATGTACTAACTAAACATATGTCAATTTGTAGTTTTATCGTCACATTTGCCTTGACCAGTCTATCCTAGGCTGTAAACTTCTGGAAGGCAAGATATATATTTGCAGATTATGGTAATAATTTAGTTAAATGTTTTCCACTTAAAAACTTTGCCACTTTTAGAATGAAAGAGCAGACAGCACTATTTTCATGTTTCTGACACTGCATCAACATTATTCCTTTTCCACCCAAACCAAAAAAGAAAAGAAGACATTCTACCTTTGCTCCCTGACTGAGTGGGAAGTTTAAAGTGATATTGCTCACGTTTCTAAGGGGTGGGTATTTGTGGAGAGCACAACTCCTTTTATCTACTTCAGGGGACCATTCAAAGCAATAGGAATAAGACTCAGGCCCTGATTAAAACAAGCACGAAAACCTGTGGACCGATATTCTTGATCCTTAGAATCTTCTTGCCTAGCTCTTTTACAGCCTCTTTTTGAGAATGCTTCAAACATTGAAAAGCCTTGGAATCTTACCAGCTCTTCTTTTGTGTCTATCTTCAGCATGGTAGAGTTCTCACTAAGGCAGAAATATTTACAGTCCTCCCAATTTTTGCTGTCTTTATAGAACTGGTAGCAATTGTCTCCATGCCACTTCCATTGTTCTGGACAAGGGCTGCACCTGTGTGCTTGGAAAAAATTTTATTATTATTTTATTATTTTCTGCGTGTGTCTGTTGTGTTCCTTTCTTGAAGTTATATAGTATTTGATGTCCCAAGAAAGAACTAAGTCGTCTTCAACATTGAATGAATAGCCCAGGCAATGATAACTATGAATATTTAATGAACACCTACTAAATGCCAGGAATTATAAGTGGTGCTGAGATACTGTAGAAATTAAAACACACATTAACTGCTTATGTGGAATATGGACTCTTGTAATAAATGACGGGAACTTTCTTGACACTTGCCTATGAAATTCAGAATATGGTCCGCCATGGTGGCTCATGCCTGTAATCCCAGCACTTTGGGAGGCCGAGGCAGGTGGATCACCGGAGTTCAGGAGTTTGAGACCAGCCTGCCAACATGGTGAAATGCTGTCTTTATTAAAAATACAAAAAAAAAAAAAAATTAGCTGGGAGCCTATAATCCCAGCAACTAGGGAGGCTGAGGCAGAAGAATCACTTGAACCCAGGAGACGGAGGTTGCAGTGAGCCGAGATTGCGCCAATGCACTCTAGCCTAGGCAACAAACCAAGACTCTGTCTCAAAAAAAAAAAAAAAAATTTGCACGTGAAAAGAATCTCCAGCTTCACAAAGCTGTTCATATGTACAGAAACTCCAACTGCATTGTGTTTAGAAAATAAAGTTTCTGTAATGCTCTTCCTCAAAATTATCTTATATAATAGTAAAATAAGTTTTAAAAAATACAATTATACCAATATGATGTGGAATCTTTTCTCACTCTAAACAAAGATAGATAAAATTTTAAAGAAAAAAAATACTGAGGCAAGCATGAAGTTAGAATGCTGAATCTCCATGTCACAAATGAAGTTGGGCATCCAGGCCACAGAAGTATGGGTAGTGACAGCAAATATAGGAGCCAGGCCCTGAGTCATAGTTTCAATACCTATGTGGATACATGACCTTGGGTCATTTAGAGTTAGGAAACTGTAATCCAGTCTCTTGTGGGTTTGTAGTGGGGTGAGAACTTGAGTCATATCCTTAACAATTTCTTTATTTTAAAAGCAATCTAGTTAACATGTTAAAATCTCACTGGCTAATACACTGGTAGGTATTATGTTATTGTTTACATCTTCTTGTAAATTTGAAATATTTCATAAAATAAAACAAAATGTTAAAAGAATAACTGAGAAGGATATTTTTATCATATTATGACAAACTTGCTGTGGCACTCAGTAGCTTCTGCCCTCTCTCAGACAGGTCTGCTTGCCTCAGAATTCTGCTAGGAGAAATATAACAAACCTGGATAGACTCAAGCACAAAGAAAAGGATCCTCAGACTTTCTAAAACACGGAAAAAGAATGGGAATGATGCTTACCTAAGAGGATTGCTGTAAAATGTAAATAAGGAAAACAGCCTGGTTCACACAGAGACTGACACATACAAAGCACTCAATAAATGTCAGTTTCAACTGTGGTCCCCGTTGTTATGAGAATTTAGATGGGTAATACCTGCTTGGAGAGCTGTGCTGGAAAAGATTATGAAGCAGCATCTGGACTCAGCAAGGAGAATCTTGGTTCATTGTCATGTCTGCTCTGATTCAGTAAGTAGAAACTGTGTAACTGCAATTTTGGTACAGTGTATAAATACCTCATCCCCCCTCATGTATAATGTTTTCTTAAATACCTTCAATTTTCAGTTTTAAGTGATCCTCTATGTGCCCTATGTAAAAGCAAGTCCCATACTCATATGGGAATTAATATAAAGAGAAATTTTCAATGAATGTTTAAGAGGAAGCAATGGACAATTAGATTGAAAAGTGAGAGATTCAAGGACCAAGAGCCTTATGTGAAATAGGTAGTGATATGATGTAACTAAAGAGACAGAGACAGAGATACCTGTTTACATTCTTACCTTCAACTAACTAAATAGTTGATATAATATTACTTAAACCATTGGAGGATGAAAATGTAATACAGATCAGAAGAAATACATTTATCTATATATACATATAGTTACAGGTATAGACATAGATAGATGTAGATATAGTTATAGATACATAAATACAAAGAGATTTACATATATCCTCCACTCTACCTTGGGCGACAGAGTGAGACCCTGTTCCCCCCACCTCTCTGTCTCCCAAATAATATGTATATTTTTAAAGAAGAAAATGTATATTTTGGGCCAGAAAAAAATGTGTGGACAGAAAATGGACTGTTCTCAAATGTTTTGTCCATGGCATATACACCTAGGAAAATTAAAATACCAACTAATTTCTAAACTGAACATGTACACTTTCTACGAACTTATTTTATCTATAAATTGCCAATTTTTGTATATGGTATAGTGCAATAAATATTTACAGGTATTTAGGATCAGTAAACAATAATGTTCATATTAGCAAGACCAATACGCTGAAGGGCATTCCATTTCATAAATACATGAAAATATGTCATCCCCAAAAAAAAAAGCCTGATCATCTTTTTTTTTCTTATACTCCTTTCTCTCTCTGTTTCTCCTTTATTTTTCTGTGCTTCAGACAAAAGGAATGTAAGTCTGTTTACATGTCTGGCCCAGAACTTTTTGCTCATATATTTAACTCCCCAAATAGTATTCCTGGTTTCCAATTTTCCCCTTGTAGCCAGAGAATTCTTCTTCCTTTCACTTGATTACACCTCGATGCTTCTAGTTGTGTTGTTTCCCAATTCTGGAGATGTTTTGGAATCTTTCATTTCTCACACATCCATTTATAGCCCATCATGTAATTACTTCCACAAACAATATCCTAGTTAGAGGTATCATCATGTTTCTCCTAGATTTTAGTGGCAGCTGTCTCTTATCTGATTTCTCTGTTGCTATTCTTTCCTCTTCCAGTCTAGTTTTAACATAATTGCAGAGTAAGCCTTTAAAAACTTATGCCAGACAATGTATTTCCTCTGCTCAAGATCCCATAATTAATCCTCATCTTCTCAAAATAGGAGCCAAACTCTTGCAAAGGAACCTAATGCTGTACATCATCTCTACCTAGCCTCCTGTTAGTCTTCCACTCCAAGCACGTGGGCTCCTCATTCTTCCTTGAATATGCAGATACATTTTAAGCCTCTTGTGTTTCCTGCTTTACCCATGAGGCTTATTATTCCTCTCTATATGTACACGGCTAACTCCCTTAACTTTTCAAGTCTTTCTACCATATAGTCATCTTAATTAAAGATTTATGACATCTCTACTTAAAGTAGCAACACAAACACACTACCCTTGAACTCCTTACCCCTCTTGCCTTGTTTACCTTCATTTCTCAAAGGATTGATTAATCTCTTATACATTTTATTTTGGTTGGCCAATCATTATTGTATACCTGGGACCTAGGGTTTCCCAGGCTGTGGGATTTTTAGTACGAAAACAGGGAACATTTGGGGCAGACTTGGAAATGCTGGTTGATATAGTTTGAACATTTGTCCCCTCCAAATCTCATACTGAAATTCGATCCTGGTGTTGGAGATGGGGCCTAATGGGAAGTGTCTCCGTCAAGGGAGCAGATCCCTTATGAACAGCTTGTTGAGTTCTCGCTACATTAGTCCTGGGAGAACTGATGGTTAGAAAGTGCCTGACACGTCCCTCCCCAGTCTCTTGCCTCCTGGACTCTTGCCATATTACCTGCTGCACTTTCCCCCATGTGTGGAAGCCACCTGAGGCTCTCAGAAGAAGCAGATGGCGGCACCATGCTTCTTGTATAGCCTGTAGAATCATTAGCCAAATAAAACTCTTTTCTGTGTAAATTACCCAGGCTCAGGTACTCCTTTACAGCAACAGAGACAAAGATATTAGTTGTCTTTTTTAATGTTTTTCAATATACTTATTTCCATCACCCCACTAGAGTAAGTGGCCCATGAGAGTAGAAATCCTATGTGTTCTGTCAGACATGCATTAGCAGGCATTCAATAAATACTTCAACCATACTGGCAGTAATACTAAGTAAATGGATAGATAAACACCACTTCAGTGGGTGGGTGGGTGGATGGGTGGATGGATGGGTGGATCGATGGATGGATAATGGGTAAGATGAGGGTAAGAAATAAAAAGTAGCAGATTAAAACTGAGAACTAATATGTAACCAAAAATATTTAAGAACTTTTTATGAGAAGCATTAATACATTTGCATGCAGATTTTATATTTAAATTAAATATGATTTATTTGCATAGCTTCTTTTTATTTGTTTTTATATACCTAAATGAAAATTTGAAAGACAGTTTGTGTTAGGAAAATCTGGATTACCTTTAAAAAAAATTTTGTGTGTGTGGCTGAGCGCAGTGGCTCATTCCTGTAATCTCGGCACTTTGGGTGGCCAACATGGGCAGGTCACTTGAGGCCAGGAGTTCAAGACCAGCCTGGGCAACATGGCAAAATCCCGTCTCTACTAAAAAAATACAAAAATTAGCCAGGTGTGGTGGTGCACGCCTGTAATCCCAGCTACCCAAGAGGCTGAGATATGATAATTGCTGGAACCCAGGAGATGGAGACTGCAGTGAGCCGAGATCACGCCACTGCACTTTAGGCTAGGCAACAGAGCGAAACTCTGTCTCAAAAAAAAAAAAATTGAGATGATGTCTTACTATGTTGCCTGGGCTGGTCTTGATCTCCTCAGTTCAAACAATTTTCCAGCCTCAGCCTGTCAGGTAGTGGATTATCTTCTTGAAGATACAACATCCAACAAAGAAAAGTATGCACACTGGGTTGTTAGAAAAATTAGTAAATAAGGGCCAGGTGTGGTGGTTCATTCCTATAATCCCAGCATTTTGGGAGGCCAAGCCAGGGGGATCACCTGACGTTGGGAGTTCAAGACCAGCCTGCTCAACACAGTGAAAACCCATCTCTACTAAAAATACAAAAAAAAAAATTGTTGGGCATGATTTTGTGCACCTGAATCCCAGCTACTTAGGAGGCTGAGGCAGGAGAATTGCTTGAATTTGGGAGGCATAAGTTGCACTGAGCCGAGATCATGTCACTGCCTTTCAGCCTAGGCAACAGAGTGAGATTCCATTTCAAAAAAAAAAAAAAAAGAAAGAAAGAAAAAGAAAAATTAGTAAATAAGGACATTTATGAGGCTGGGCAAGGTGGCTTACACTGGTAATCCCAGCAATTTGGGGGGCTGAGGCAGGCAGATCACATGAGGTCGGGAGTTCAAGACCAGCCTGACCAACCTCTACTAAAAACACAAAATTAGCTGGGCATGGTGGTGCACACCTATAATCCCAGCTACTCGGGAGGCCGAAGCAGGAGAATCACTTTAATCCAGGAGGCAGAAGTTGTGGTGAGCCGAGATTGTGCCATTACACTCCAGCATGGGCAACAAAAGCAAAATTCCATCTCAAAAATAAATAAATAAATAAATAATAAGGACGTTATGACCATTGAAGTCATTAGTCATGTAGGAAAGAATCACTTAGAGAAGTGAAGGTGTGCATACTAATATTTTTTCCAGGGTAACCACGCAATCAGGATGCCTGTTTCAAGAGGGAAGATGAGAAGACTCTGCCCTCCTTTAGAGTTCCTAAAAGATAAATAAAAAGTGGGAACATGAACATGGATGCCATTTCCCAAGTAAGCATGATAAAGAGAGCAGCAAAGAGAGCTGACTTGAATAAAGTAGATTATCACAAAACCTGAAAAGAACAGGAGAATGGGAATACACACACACACACACACACACACACACACACACACACACACACACACTCACTCTGAAGTGATGCTCCTAGACTTCTCAGCAGTATTTTCATCCATGGTAGTTCACCTACTACTGGTACTGTCATCATCTGTAGTCCTTGTTAAAATACATATTTTAGTTATCCTGAATTAAAATAACTGGAATTTGATTCAGGTTATCTGCATTTTTGGACCACTCCCTGTATGATTTTTAAGATTTGAGAACTATAGTTATGAGTTTGCTTACTTCTTGCTAGGAAAGAATTTGTAAGAACATTTGCTGAGGTAGACCGAGACCCAACCCTGTATTTTCTTTACTCGTAGTGTTATTTTGGTTATTCCTAGGTAATTGTTTTATTGCTTTAAATGCCTGCATTTGAAGAGTCCCTCGATGTATGGTCTCACAGACACATATGAATCGCATGATCCCAACAATTGATCATAATCAGGAAGCCCAAACCCTTTATTCAGTTTGCCAGACCTCTAGTTAAATAATATTTGACTCTCACTTTCACTGGTGGGAAATCCATCTCTTTATTGCCAAATAGCACGGGGATACAGTGACCAGGGCACACTTACCTCCAGCTTTGTTATAGAGCTCACGACAGAGTTTTTTAGCCACATGCTGCAGACTTTCTGCAAGCTTCGTGTTCTGGACTTGAAGAGATTGAAACTGTCGGGAGATATTTCCGAATCTTTCTTCCATATGGGAAATGGTGGCTTGATGAGTATTGGAGAGCTGGTAGTACTGAAAAACTAACCCAAATGACCAAGTCAAACTGGACAGCTTATTTCTATGCTTTATTCCCATTTTCTGCATATGGGGAAGACAAAACAGTATATCTTTTAGTAGTCTCTCAGGCTCTGAGATCTCATATTGCCTATATTCAAGGTTGGACTCCCATACATATATGAGAAGTTGTATCACCTTGGGCAAATTAATTTCTTTAAGTCTGTCTGAAAATGTGAAGTCATGGGAGAAAACGGCAGACAAGAGGGCTAAGGTGCAGCTCCCACTTGGACAACAGAACAGCATGAGGAGACTCACACTGTGAACTTCTCTAGGAACCACCTCAGGAACATACCAAGAAAGCTTAAAGAATTCACGGATCCTTTGAAAGACGCAACTCAGTACTGAAATTTCTGCAAGACAGCCAAAAATGTGTGAGTGGGGGGAACACCTACCGCTGAACACACATCCATACTGGGGAACCTGAAAATCTGGGTTACAGGAGAAGGATTTAATCTTAACTGAAGCAGAAATGGATGTAGGGAGCCATGCAGAATATAAAAGGAGAAGAAGCAGAGGGAAGAGTTCTGTAGGCACTCCCGTTTTCCAGCTCAAGCCCCGGGAAGCCATCCCTGACTTTGTCTCAGGGGTCTTTGGATAAGGCAACCAGTGGAATTAAAGAGGAATCACAGAGCGAAAGAAGCTAATGAATTCTGTAATAGTTTCAACTAGATACAAATTTTCTTAAGCAAAATTCAGGTGGCAAAGAGGAACTGCTATAGATATCAACAGAGGAAGTGATGGATGCTGTGGGAAGGTGGGGAGGGGTGTGGCCTGAAAACCTGCTTATTTTCTCAGTGGAGAGGCTTGTAGCCTGGGGCAAGCTCAGAGCCCCTGGCATGGGCTGCCAGGATATAAACTCAGTGTTGTTGGTAGGACATGAGACGAGCAAGATTTGCCTCACCAGCTATGTGGGAGCTGGGTAAGGCCTATCACTGCCAGCTTTCTCCCACTTCCCTGGCAACCTGTATGACACAGCAGAGGCAGCTGTAATACCCTGAGAATCAACCCCTATCCCCCACAGCATTCGTGGCAAGCCCCGACCGAGGAGAGTGTGAGCTTAGACCTGCCTAACCCTGACCCCATGTGATGTTTTTTCTCCCCCCACCCTGGTAGCCAAACACAAAAGACATAAACTCTTGGGAGCTGTATGGCCTGTCCATCACCTGAGAAACCTAAATACTTATCCTGGCCAATTTAGAGCAAGCTTATATGCCCTGTCTACTACTGCAGCTGGTGCTCTCTTTAAAGCACCGTCTCCTGGCTGGAGGCCAACCAACTCAAGCCATTACAGTAACTCATGACAGAATAACCCTGCTCCCAGGAGGGAGACGACAACAGCTAATTCCGCTGTAGCAACATCCTTGCTAACCAGAGGTCCTGAGTGTGTCCATCTGACAACTTCACTGCGAGCATAACCAGCATTCAAGAAAACCAGCACACGAAACACATCTATAACCAAGGACTCTCACAGTCACTTCACCTCCTTGCCAGCTTCACCACAGCAGTGCTGGTATCCACACATAGGAGACTTGGAGATGGATCATATCACAAGACTCTGCAGACATTCTCCAGCACCAGCCTAGAGCCTGGTGGCACCACTGGCTACACCCAGAAGAGAAATAACAATGACTCCTTTGGCTCTAAGGAAGCCTTATACCTAGAAAAGGGGGAGAGCACAACATCAAGGGATCACCCCATGGGATGAAAGAATCTGAATGGCAGCCCGTGTGTTCCAGATCTTTTCACTGAAATACCCAATATACCCAAATGAGAAGGAAGCAGAAAAGTAATTCTGGTAATATGACAAAACAGGGTTCTGTAGCACCACCAAAAGATAACACTAGTTCCCCGGCAATGAATCCAAACCAAGAAGAAATCTCTGAAAGGCCAGATAAAGAATTCGGAAGGTTCATTATTAAGTTACTCAAGGAGATACCAGAGAAAGGTGAAAAATAACTTAAAGAAACCTATTTATGGATCTTTCTTTTTCTCTTTTCTTCTTCCTTCCCAGACCAATTTTTGTTTTTAGTTCTGTTAATGTAATGTATTATATTTATTGACTTGCGTGCATTAAGCCATCCCTGCATCCCTGGGATGAAACCCATTTTATCACGGGGTATTATCTTTTTGATACAATGTTGGATTCAGTTAGCTAGTCTTTTGTTCACAATTTTTACATCAATGTTCATTTCTTATCTCAAACAGAATGTTTAATTCTAGTTGGCTACTGATTGTTGTATTTTAATTCTTCCATTATTCGCCATTTAAATAGTTGCCATTCAAAAAAAAGATACACTGAGTTTTCCAAAGGCTACAGAATTAAAGTTTAAAAAACAAATCTATAACAAGCGTTCTCATCCTAGACAAACCTTGGAACCAGGATCCTCCCCCAGGTCAGAGCGCAGACTTACACAAAAGCCCTAGGGCTGCCAGCCCTATCAGCAGCACCAAGCACAAAGTCAGCAGGATCAGGGCCACTGGTCGCCATGCTGAAGAGGGAGCCCTGTGCCCTGCAGGGAACAGAAGAGAAAGCAGCGTTTGGCTTTTTCTTCCTCTTGCATCTAAGTCAATAGCATGTAAGGGAGAGGAGTTGATTCTGCACAGGAACAAATTATGCTGGACTACAATAACCAGGGCCACAGAATAACTTGCTGTCTGTCCTCAGAAACATCATCATAAGGCTCCATGAGAGCCTCACTTATCGCAGCCAGATTCTCACAAGCCCCACCCATTTGCATCCATTCCTCAAGTCTTATTTGCACTGAATTACATTATGCATTATCATTATCTTCACATGGTTGTTTGTACAACCTTTTGCTTGTCAAAATTCTAATTATGAAAGAGCCTGAGAATCTCTAGACCTTACCAAGGGACAACTTTTTACATAATCAGGGGAAAGATGAAATTAATTTGTTGTTACTTTTGAAAAACATCTCCCTCCTCCCAAGTTCTATATACGTTTTTTCCAAAATGCAAATTGCATGTTAGTAATGGGAAGTAATAATTTTACTGTTTCTCTGTGGAATTGCTTCATTGAAAGTCCCTCTTTTGTAAGGATATTGTTTGTTCATTCATTCAATTTATATTTTTTCAAAAATAGATTATAAAGATACATGATCATCAATTTCTGAAAGATGAATCCAAGCTATTTTTGCAGCAGTTAAATAATTTTTTAAACTGTGGTAAACATGTGTTCCTTACCCTTCATTCCCATAAGTTTGACTAGTAATTGCAGAGGTTTTACTGTAAGTCATGAGTAGACCCCTCACCCTAGTGAGGTCACCTGTCTGGGTCTGAATGACCTAACATATCTAACAGGGAAGATTCTCAGTCAGGTGCATCTAGCATTGTGATAGAAATGAAACAAAGGGAGAGTGAAGCCCTCAAACAAACTCCGATCTCTTTGTAACCCGTTAGTTCACTTCATTGAGAATTCAAGTCACTCTCTGAAACAGAAAGAGATCAGAGGGTTTTTTTGAAAGGAAAATTCTTTTTCATCTAGCAAGGTCCTCTACATAATACATTCTAGGCACAGAGATTTTCCAGGATGGAGTGCAGTGGCGCGATCTCAGCTCAAGGCAACCTTTGCCGCCCAGGCTCAAGCAATCCTCCCACATCAGCCTCCTGAGTAGCTGGAACCACAGGCATGTGCCACCACGCCTGGCTAAATTTCTTTTCTACACTTTTTTTAGAGATGGGGTTTCACCATGTTGCCCAGGCTGTTCTCTGACTCCTGAGCTCAAGCGATCCGCCTGCCTCACCTTCCAAAGTGCTGGGATTACAGGCATGAGCCGCTGCACGCAACCAATTCTAGGTAAAGAGATATATTTGAACATTGTTTCCCAATGGGGAATGATAACTAGTAAAGAATATACAAATAGACAGTATGATTACTATCCTCTGGAACTTAAATCTAGTAGGGAAATAAAGTCTCAGAGCAGACATACTGATATATTTTTAAATGGGAATCTTATTCTTTCTTAGCAGTCATCTCCTTCATAAATAGCTTGCATTACATTTAGAATAAAATCCAAATCCCTTTTCACAAACTGCTTTTTAAAATAAAAAAAAGGCAATTTTATGATGGTACTTTCCTACTTAAAAACTTTAAAAGCTTTATTGCACTTAAAATTAAATCCTGCAATAGTCACTGAGGCCTTCCTCAGCCCTTTCATCCCTTTCTGAGCTATTTTCCTCTCACTCACACGTACTACTCACAATGGCCTTCCGTTTAGTCCTTGATCTGATCATGATGAAGCTTGACCCTAAGCAAATTGTATCAGCCCTCCTTCTGCCTCTGCATTAAACTTCAGTTTCAATGGCACGTCCTTGGAAGAGGTCCACGAGTCCGTCGCTAGCGCATATCACTCACTCTGCGCTAGGTAACATTTTCATGATGTTTCTTTCTTTTTCTCTGTCTCCTTTCTCCCCATCTAACATTCCATTTAATCAATGATCTTGTCTATTTGTCAACTAGTGTATTTCCACTACTGAAAGTACTGCCTGGCACATAAGGGCTGAGTAAATCTTTTGACAGTTTAAATCATCAAAAAATGAAATTGTAAAAAATTAATATGACTTAAACTATCTAAGTTTTATAAGTGGGTTCTCCCATGTTAAGTTTTACAGGTTTTCTTTGAATCTAAATCTATTGACTTTTCAGCAACATTTATGTCAGCAGAAAACAGACTCAGCTAAATACATCTCCCAGCCATGTTGGTTTCTATACACTGACTTTTGTGAGATTCTATATCATGAACAAATCTGAGGGAAATTTGCTTCCTCCCCTTGGTTTCCTTCAGTTAACTAAGCTATGTGATTTCGTCTTAGTTTTTCTGGAAAAGGATGGTTTTCTCACAGTATTGACTGTAAAAATATTTCAGATCAGCAGAACATAAAAAAAAAAAACAAACCAAGATTAGAGACAGAATATAGTTTGGGTTAATCATCCTCTCCAAAACCCTGTATTTGTAAACTTCCATATGGTCCAAGAAAGTTAACCATATGGATGTTTCTAAAATCCATAGTTAAAAGTGCATGTGTGAGCCCACCGCCATGGTGATTTTATTTTTCCACAACCTCTTATTACCATTAAGTATATTGCATATCTTATTTCATTTGGCTTCTATCTGTCTTACTCCAGAAAAAATTTAGCTCCTTCTTGGAAAATATTATCTATCTAGCCACTATTGTAACCCAGTTCCTAGAGCAGTAGTTGAAATAAACTCAACTAAATTTAAATGAATGAATGAATGAATAGGTCCGTTATATACAAATATCTGTGTTACATGCCTACCTACCCCTACTCAAACATAGTTACATTAATACATATCTCATGATAATTTTTAAAATCCTGTTACTTCTTATAATTAATATTTGTCCAGCTGAAATTAGACATAAGAAGTAAAGACATCCAGGGGCAGTGGTTCATGCCTGTAATCCCAGCCCTCTGGGAGGCCGAGGCAGGCAAATCAAACTCAAGTCAGGAGTTTGAGACCAGCCTGATTCACATGGTGAAACCTTGTCTCTACTAAAAATAAAAACAAAAAATTAGGTGGGCGTGTCTGTAATTCCAGCTACTCTGGAGGCTGAGGCAGGAGAATTGCTTAAACCCAGGAGATAGAGGTTGCAGTGAGCCGACACAGAGCCACTGCACTCCAGCCTGGGTGACAGAGTGAGACTCCGTCTAAAAAAAAAAATAGGCCGGGTGTGGTGGTTCAAGCCTGTAATCTCAGCACTTTGGGAGGCCAAGATGGGTGGATCATGAGGTGTGGTGATCAAGACCATCCTGGCCAACATGGTGAAACCGCATCTCTACTAAAAATACAAAAAATTAGCTGGGCATGGTGGTGCATGCCTGTAATCCCAGTTACTTGGGAGGCTGAGGCAGGAGAATCGCTTGAACCAGGGAGTCGGAGGTTGCAATGAGCTAAGATCCGCCACTGCACTCCAGCCTGGGTGACAGGGCAAGACTCTGTCTCAAAAAAAAAAAAAAAAGTTTCAAGAAGTAAAGGAAAAGAACTCTGACAGTCAACCAAATTATTTTTCTTTATAAATCTGTTTTCTACCAGGCACAGTGGTTTAGGCCTGTAATCCCATCACTTTGGGATTCCCAACTAAAGCAGGAGGATTGCTTCAAGCCAGCAGTTCGAGACCAGCCTGAGCAAAATAGTGAGATCCCATCTCTACAAAAAATTAAAAAAATTCATCAGCCATGGTGGCACACACCTGTACTCACAGCTACTCAGAAGGCTGAGGTAGGAGGATTGTTTGAGCCAGGGAGGTCAAGGCTGCAGTGAGTCATGATCGTGCCACTGTACTCCAGCCTGGGTGACAGAGCAAGATCCTCTCTCAAAAGTAGTAAATAAATGAAATGAAATAAATAAAACAAAATAAAATAAATCTGCTTTCCTTTGCATAATATCGAGGGCATGGGAGGTGTTGTTTTTCTGCCCAAAGGAACAAAAACAGTGAACTTAAATTCCTACTGTGAAGTGAGGGCCTGGACTTTAGAAATCAGAACATCTTTCAATAATAATTATATTCATGAAAAGAAAAAAAATACATGACCCTTCTTAAAATTGTCTCTAGGGCAGAAAAAAAAAAGTGGTATGTCTTCTGCTTTAAAATCTCTTCTATGAAATCCTCTTTTTCTGATAAAATTTCACATTTTGAAATTTTTCTTCTCTTCCCATCTCTCTCTCACTCTCTCACTTGCTTTCCCTGTCTCTCTCTTTACTACTCTCCATCTAATCATTCTATACAAAGACACAGAGAAACACAATCCTGGGGAGTTCATCTCCCAGGAAACCAAGCTCCCATGATGTAAAGTCCATGAAGTTGAAAGTTTCACTTTTTCTTTTTCTTTGATGCTATTTTTCCCTCTAGATGTTTTTCTTCTAACTGTGAGTCTAATGTTTCTGAGTTTTATTCCAAGTGCCCTAATCATACCGAAGTCTCTCTCCAGGGATCACCCTCACCCTAACATAAGGCAGATTTTCACAAAAATAAGATGCCTGGGAGGTCACTTGAGTTTGGCTTGGCTTTATTGTGGTTTTATTTTCTGGAAGAGAACCCCTTTGCTGTTTCCTGAGCCATGTTTAGAAAGAGGTGTGGACAGGCCAAGGAATGATATAAACAACCCTAGGAATAATACGATATATATAGGGAAAAAAACTTTCCTGTATCCTCTTACTATAACCATACTATAAAAGGCCTCAGTGTCAGGGTCAGATTTTGTATACCGATTCCTGTGTAATTATATGAAACTTTGTGGGTGGAGAGCTGTCAGACTTAACCAGTTACTCTTCATCAGGCATCAGCGAGGGAAAACTTTGTTGTCCACCCAAGAAACTAAGCTGCCATTACCATACACAGTCTATTAGTATGCTTATGAAATACAAAAGGTCTTAAAAGCTGGAGAAGACACAGAGAGTTTAAATAATGTGCATGCTACAAACTAGTTGCAGAGCTAAGATTAAATCATTATGCTTAATGCTGTACTTCACAT